TTTTCGTTAGCGATCTCCAGCAAGTTGTATGGTAACACGCCCCAGCAATGTAGCTACAATAGTTGCTCACTAACTGATTCAACGCACATGCTAGAGTGATAAGGATGCGTCTTCGGATCAGTAAATTTCTCCAAAGAAGTAGAAAACGCCTGACTGCGGACTGCGACATGTCTATTTTCGCTGTTCCCCTCTTTTAAAGCGTTTTATTGGGACTTCAGCCAATCAAAGCAAGCTTTGATGTTTGAGGGTCCCAGAATTTTTCAACATCTTAAACGTCCTTATATTCCAGTGTTTTTGGTGCATGTACAGAAATGTAATAAATGTTCACATTGTTGTAAGTTAACACACCAGTGTAAGTTAACTTTTTGCAATCCATGTTTGTTAATAAGACAAATAAATGGTATCTTGCTGTTTGCCGTGAGACACTTACATTTTCTTTTTTTTTACGTACCTTTGCAGTCCGATTTGAATTTCTTCTCCACTTTTCCTTTGATTCCAAAAAGAAAGTCTGCCCAGCCTTTTAAACTACCTGNCTGAAAGTTATATTTTTGTGAATCATTTATCTAGACCATTCATCTGAGAAAGTTTGAGGAATTTGATTTTTTCTGGTCCAAATGGCCATAGTTGAAAATTACAGAGGGCACCTCTTAAGCGTCCTTATTTTTCAGTGTTCTTGGTGCATGTACAGAAAAGTAATAAATGTTCACACTGTTGCAAGTTAACACACCAGTGTAAGTTAACTTTTTGCAATCCATGCTTGTTATTAAGACAAAGGAATGGTATCTTGCTGTTTGCCTTGAGACACTCTTACATTTTCTTGTTTTTTTTTACGTACCTTTGCAGTCTGATTTGAATTTCTTCTCCACTTTTCCTTTGATTCCAAAAAGAAAGTCTGCCCAGCCTTTTAAACTACCTGGAATCGGCCAGGTACAGCTCTGAGCAGCCAGCCACATGTGATCTGGTTGTGCTGCAGTGCTCCACACGTTTACTTGATGAAGGGTGCCAGAAAAGGAGGTAGACGGATCAGCTTTTTTCTGCGCAGCTAAGTACCTTTTGCCAAGAGAAATCCACCCACCACCTAAAATCAGACTTCCTTTGAGAATATTATTTCCCTTAGTAATCTCCACCCCATCAAAATACAAAGATGCAACTCCAGTCTCCCCATTCCATACCCCTGCTACGAAATGCCATTTATCATCTGCTATGGTAGAATCAGCGCTGATGACTTTGTCTTTGACTTTCAGGTGGATTTGTAAGGAAGAAAAATAGAGCAGTATAGTTTCGCCGATGTTCTGTTCCACACTGTATCCAAACAAAGTGCCTGACTTGAACTTTGAATCTGCTCGGACAAACATGGCAATGGTGAAGCGGAGCATNCACACTGCAATCCAGTAAAACCAGGCGGGCAGGTACAAAGGAAGGTGCCTTTGAAATAGTCAATTGAGCAATTTCCGCCATTTCGACAGGGTCTGGATTGGCATGCGTCCCATTCAGTCTCACAATTCTTTCCTGCAAATATGTCTAGACAATCGCATTTATATCCTGGAGCCAAATTTTTGCACGTTCCGTTGTTTAAACAGGGACTAGACTCGCATTCGTCTATGTCATTCTCGCATAAAGTTCCATTGTAGCCCTCAGAACAAATGCATGTAAATCCATTGATGTAATCTGCACAAGCTACACTGTTTTTGCAGGGTTTGTTGGCACAATCGTCAATGTCGTATTCGCAGAACTCTCCAGTAAATCCTTTAGGGCACAGGCATGTAAAACTATTGACACCATCGATACAGGTTGCATCGTTAAAACATGGCTGGATGTAACATTCATCTATCTCGAGCTGGCACATTTCTCCAAAATAACCATTAAGGCATTCACATTGATACCCCTTAGGTGAATTAATACATTTGCCATTGTGTTCACACTCAACGTCTGCACAGTAGTCTATAGTCTTTTCGCATCGAGTACCCGTAAATCCCTCAGGACAGTCACACGTATAATAGCCCACTTGATCTAGACAAGTTCCATTGTTGGCGCAAGGATTTAGCTCGCAGTCGTTGATGTTTTCTTCACACTGACTGCCTGTAAAACCAGTTAGACAGGTGCAACGGAAACCATTAACCTGAAATGATGGCACAACTCATTAATTGAACTCTTAAATTTAGTTACCTACTAATCAAGCACTGACTCAAAAAATAAAATACAAAATGTATATTCTTTCTTCCTTTATCGCTGCAAAGAATTGGGCTGTCCCACTGACACTTTTTTCGAGTGGTGACAGGCTGGGGAAAAGACTTGTCTGTTTAAACCTTTATTACTTGGTTTAACAACACCCGGTATGGGAGATGACTAATCTTAAGCAAGCTTAATAAGTCTTTCACTGGCATTAGTTTTTACCGACATTAACTTAGGTTTCTTTTTCTGTCAAAATTCAAATTCAAAGTTATAAAGATAGTTAAGGCTATAACCCTCTCTCTTATGAAAACGTGTGAAAGATCAAATGTCATTCCTCGCTACTTGGTAAACAGATGAGAAGTATTAAAGAAAAAAAAAATCTTCATTAAGGGGTACTTGCAAACACGCTAATCCCTACTCACTTAATAATGATATAATAATAGAATAGAATAGAATAGAATAAAATAATATTTCTATACTACTGTTTCAGTGAACAGTCTCGTACCTCATCATGGCAAGATCCCCCGTAGAAACAAGGATATGAGTCGCATTCATTAATTTCAATTTCGCAATGTTGTCCCCAAAAACCAGAAGCGCAATCGCAGGTGTAGCTGTTTATTCCATCTCTACAGACACCTCCATTCAAGCAAAGATTTTCAAAGCAATCAACAGCATTCGTTTCACAGCGTGATCCCACGAAACCTTCAGCGCATTCGCATACGTAATGATTCACCTTGTCAACACACGTTCCATTGTTGTAGCAAGGGAAACTCCAACAATCGTTTGTGTCAACACTGCAATCGTTTCCAGCGTAACCGGTCTTACAGGCGCATTTGAAGCCTCCAAGCGAGTCTACACAAGTTCCATCATTGAGACATGGGTTAGTGCCACACTCATCAATATTTATTTCACAACTTATGCCAGTAAAACCATAGAAACACTTACATCTGTAATCATTCACCTGATCAATACAATAGCCAGTGTTACCACATGGAGAGCTTGCGCATTCGTCTATTTCAGTTTCACAAAGGGCACCTTCAAAACCATCCACACAATGACATGTAAAAGAGTTTAAATCATCCAAACACGTTGCATTATTTAAGCATGGCAACGATTCACACTCATCGATGTCCACATTACAGTCCTTTCCCGTATATCCTGGCGGACAACTGCAGGTAAAATTATTTACTTCATCCTGACATGTAGCTTGGTTTGAGCAAGGATTTGATGCACAGTCGTCAATGTTGTTTTCACAATATAACCCGTCAAATCCTGGCTTACATTCGCACTTGTGGTTATCATTGTCTGTTTTTATGCATGTCCCATTGTTCTCACAGACATCCAAAAGACATTCATCAATTTCGATCTCACAGGTCTTACCTGTGAAGCCATTTTCACAATGACAGAAATATCCATTGATTCCATCAACGCAGGTGGCATTGTTAAGGCAAGGGATAGTTGAGCAATCATCTATGTTTGTCTCACACTGCTGTCCTTTATACCCTACTGAACAAACGCACTGATAATTGTTAGTTCCATCCACACATCTGGCCCCGTTTTGACACGGAAACGATGCACATGCCTCAAGTTTATCCTCACAGTCAGTCCCTTGAAACCCTCTATCGCAAACACATTCATACCCAAAAATTTTGTCCACGCAGGTTGCTCCGTTCAGACACGGTGATGAGGAACATTCGTCAATCTCTACATCACATAACACGCCGGTAAAACCGGGTTCGCAGAGGCAAGTAAAATCTCCCGGCACATTACTGCAAGAAGCGTTATTGAGGCATGGCAATGATAAACATTCGTCAACGTCTTTTTCACAGTTTATTCCTTCAAAACCGCTGGCGCACGCGCAGATAAAGCCGTTCACAAGGTCATGGCAAGTTCCATTGTTCAGGCATGGCTCATCTTTACAGTCATCGATGTTTATTTCACATTGTTTTCCCGCAAATCCAAGGGGACATGAACATAAATAGTCCGCAACGAGGCTTTTACACGTGGAGTTGTTTATGCAAGGACTTGAGTCACATTCGTTGATTTCTGTCAGATAACAATAAAACAGCATAAAGCTAAGAAATTGTGTGAAATCAATGAGGACCCAGGCTCACAATTCGATCACCCGGTCAATTTAAGGAGGCTGGCAACAGTTTCCTGCACTTTTCTAACAGCTTTACTTTGAAGGATGAATACTACCACTGTTTATCACGTGATGCTACACTATTGGTATCATACAAATGCCATATATGTTACCATAGCAACAATATGACCTGCTAAAAACACCCTTACATTTAGCTTTAAGCGCTTGTAACTCAAAAACGAGCTCTGTGATCCCCATTTTTCTTATTATCGACTCATGATAAGCATTGTAAGATGCAACTTTTTGCAAAGTTTAAAAAAATTTTGTAGTGTGGGAAAATTTAAGGTGGCTCTAAACCCAGACTACAGAATTTTTTTAAACGTTGGAAAAATTTACATCTTACCATGCTTATCATGATTCGATACTAAAAAATGGGGGTCAGCGTGCTCGTTTTTGAGTTACAAGCGCTTAAAGCTAAAATTAAGGGTGTTTTTAGCAGGTCATACTGTAGCTATGGTANTTTTTCTTATTATCGACTCATGATAAGCATTGTAAGATGCAACTTTTTGCAAAGTTTAAAAAAATTTTGTAGTGTGGGTTCAGAGAAAATTTAAGGTGGCTCTAAACCCAGACTACAGAATTTTTTTAAACTTTGGAAAAATTTGCATCTTGCCATGCTTATCATGATTCGATACTAAAAAATAGGGATCACCGAGCTCGTTTTTGAGTTAAAAGCGCTTAAAGCTAAAATTAAGGGTGTTTTTAGCAGGTCATGGTGTTGCTATGGTAATTAATTGTGCTACAAAATTGACAGCAACATTTTTACCAATGATTGGGCAGTTTGTTGATACCATGATTTTTGCATCAACTGAGAAAGAGTGGCTATAACGGCCCATCAAAGTTTACGTCTCGGAAAGTGCTGGAAAAAGTTTCGAGCCACCTTAAAGGGATAGCTGTATGAAACATTACTGCTAAATTGATATCGGAACAAAATGACAATAATCAGTCCAAAGCATTTACAATTCACATCATCATGTTGTCTATTTTGTGTTTGTTGACTGCTCTACGTCATTTAAACCACCATATAAACTTTGTTTGGTTTTTAGTTCACTCCTACGTAAATATTACAAGGGGAAGAAAACCTAGGGCAAACTAAGGTCGATACACTCGACTGTTAAAGAGCCTAAAATTTGTATTGGCACTGGTTTGATCATTAAATAAACTGTATATTAAGATATTTACTCATTTTTTTCCCCTTAAATAAATCTGGTTGTCATCTTCATATTTTTTAAACGCGCTGTGGGAGTTTCGGAAAACACCCTCTAGGTAATGCGGTAAATTATGCTTAACAGGAGCAGCATAATCCTTAAAAGGAGAACAGATTGACACGTGTGTTCACTGTCTATAAGCCGAAAGGCTGGGAAAAGTCGAATGTTTGCAGTTCATGGTTATATTTTAGGTTTTCTGTAAGGGTAGAAAGAAGCACCCTGGCTTAAACTTGACTCCTTTGAAAGTTTGGTCCTGGAACTACACCAGCTCGATATTTCTGGCTTCATTTCCTCGGATAGTATTAGCAAAGAGTTGACTAAAATCAACAATGTGACTCAAGAGTGGATTGAATGATCTAAAGCAGCCAACACAGACAAGATATGGTGTAAAATGTCAACTTAAATGACCTTTAACTTTCATTTTGTTTCGATTTCAATTTTAGCTGTAGAGTTTTAAATATATCTTTAAAATGTTGCCGCCGCCATCATTTCGACCGAATGGTCGTATCGTGAGCCTTGGCCGTCCGTGGTGAAACACAGAAAATATGCATTTTTGGTCAGTGTATTTCTCGGTCTATCCTCTAGAGCAGTTATAAGTCAAAACTTAGGGTAATTCTAAATCAGCATCTATTATTGCTGTTAACTAGATATTGGGCGCATCCTGCAAGACCAAAAACTCCGGAACTTTCAAAACGTGGGCAAATGATACGGAAGGTTACGGAAAGTCTGAGAATTAAATAACGCCGACCATTAAACCAAAAAATTCGGAAACACTAGGAGCATGATAAAATGGAACAAAAATTCCTGGAGAAAAATATTTGACAATTTGGCTATACTTCGCAAGGTTGCCCTCATTTCCGCAAAATTCTCATAAATGCCGTTTCACTCGCAACTGCAAGATTTCAGCGAAATTCAAACCGGAATGTTTTGGTCAAATGGAAAGCGCCCCCTCACAGGAAAGATTAAAATTTGCTCGGAAAACGCGCGATAAACAGAACCCTTACATACCCAGGCAGTCCAGACGGCTCTTCGACCCTTGCACCTTTGTCACAGTAGAACCAGGACATGACAAACATTCGCGCCTTCCTGTGTTTGGTTGAAAAGAGCGCCTGTCGCATAAGGTACATGGCTCTAGTCCAGTTGCAGAAAAGGAGCCCATTGGGCAAGCAACTGTGTAAACAAGGATCAAATATTTCAAAGCGTTACAAAAATAGTAGTACTATTATCTTTTTCCATTTTTTTTTAAAGACAGTATATGATTTACAGATATCATAATTTACGGATTAGTTCCGACCATTTTATCATAATTTGCACGACCCTTGGAAATGCTAAAAGCTCGAGTNCTATTATTGCTGTTAACTAGATATTGGGCACTTCCTGCGAGACCAAAAACTCCGGAACTTTCAAAACGTGGGCAAATGATACGGAAGGTTACGGAAAGTCTGAGAATTAAATAACGCCGATCATTAAACCAAAAAATTCGGAAACACTAGGAGCATGACAAAATGGAACAAAAATTCCTGGAGAGAAATATTTGACAATTTGGCTATACTTCGCAAGGCTGCCATCATTTCCGGAAATTCTCATAAATGCCGTTTCACTCGCAACTGAAAAATTTCAGCGAAATTGAAACCGGAATGTTTTGGTCAAATGGAAAGCGCCCCCTGACACGAAAGGTTAAAATTTGTTCGGAAAACGCGCGATAAACAGAACCCTCAAAGCCATTCTTATTGTCTCACATACCCAAGCAGTCCAGACGGCTCTTCGACCCTCGCACCTTTGTCACAGTAGAACCAGGACATGATAAACATTCGCGCCTTCGTGTGTAAGGTTGAAAAGAGCGCCTGTCGCATAAGGTACATGGCTGTAGTCCAGTTGCAGAAAAGGAGCCCATTGGACAAGCAACTGTGTAAACAAGGATCAAATATTTCAAAGCGTTACAAAATTAGTAGAACTANCCACAAACAAGCATTAAAAGAACTTGGCCAATATCAAGCCATCTTGATCGAACAAGCTCGGTCAATAAGATCATATACACATAATAGAACTAATAATTGGTGTCCTCCTCGTGACGTGACACTGGAAGAACCTTAGCAAAATACCAACAAACTGGTTACGTTCGGTTACGGGTTTTTTGGTCTTTCTCACTAAATTAATTCTGTACCATTCGCTCCTGTCTGGGATTTTCTTTTCCAAACCTGATTGACATAATTGACCTACTGCAGGGTTAAGTTTTCCTTTTTAGTTGGTGACGATGCTTTAGTTTGTTTTTGCAACAGCAAATGAATTACATATCACTTTTCCAAATGCAATTAAGTAAAATGATTGATAAAAACGAAACTTACTTCCACAATCTGCAGAGCTGTTGGAGCCCTCAGACGACGTTGTCTGCCCCTCCTTACATTTCGTGCAGAAGTTCTGCCCTTTTCGCTCTTGAAAACGCCCTTTTTCGCAACGAATGCATGGTTCCAATCCAGTGGGTGAGAATGTACCAGCTCCACAAACAGCTTACGAAAAAACAATTATGTAAAGCATAAGATATAATCTTCGACATGCATTCAACTGCTATATAAAATAAAATGTATCAAATCTTTGAAACAAGTCTCAAAAGGGACAAAAACTTATTTGTCCTATAGAAAACATTAGCTGATATTTCCAGCTAATAAATGTTAGCCTTAATCGGTTTTCACAAATGTAGAATACACAATGCATTTAAAAGCTATTCATAACACCCAAGTAGTTAGTTATTTTTAGCTCATGCAAAAGTTAAATACTCTACCCAAGCAGCTGAAGCTATTATCCGTCCTCACTTCTGCTGTGGAGGTGCCAGGAGGACATTTGTTACACTCGATCTGTGCGTCCTGTTCCTGATAAAATCCTATGGCACAATCTTCGCATGTACCAAGTTTTTTGTTCAAAAATGTCCCTGCTGTACAATTTACTATCGGAAAAATAAACAAAAACAACGTAGATATTTAAAAGCACGCATATGATTGTAACACATGCTATTTGACGCGGGAAATATATATCTTGGTCAGTATACGCTTTGGGNCAAAAACAACGTAGATATTTAAAAGCACGCATATGATTGTAACACATGCTATTTGACGCGGGAAATATATATCTTGGTCAGTATACGCTTTGGGGTCGCTTTTTAACCTAACCTCGTTTTTTTAACTTAAGCAAGCTCAATTGAACTTTTAAAAACAGATCCACATTTATAGGCTACCTCTCATTAAAAATTACAATTAATGGCGATTTTCGTAAATTATTTTTTTTTCCATTGAGTTATCAATATTTAATAAAAAGTTTGTATAGTCGGTTGAGTATCGGCACAGTGCGAATGTCGTAATTTTCAGAACGGTTATAAACAACAATGACGAAAACAACATTTGTAAAAAGGCAACACAATTATCAGCAATGTAAAGTAAGACTGTTATGGTTGAAACATCTGTACTTTAAATAGCGGGAAAATATGGACAATGCTTGTTATGTCTCTTTTCGAAGAAGACAATTTGTTTATTGTTGTTAATTGCATCAATATACACTTACGACAAAATCCATCTCTGAAAGTTTGTCCTTTGGAGCACACTTTTTTAGGTTGGGAAAAGTTTAAAGACTTCTTATCTGGCAGAATCTTCTTTCCATTTAAAGTTAAGGAAATGCTTTCATCATCCACAGCTCGTGCAATTTNCGGTTGAGTATCGGAACAGTGCGAATGACGTAATTTTCAGAACGGTTATAAACAACAATAACAAAAACAACATATGTAAAAAGGCCACAACAATTATCAGCAATGTGATGTAAGACTGTTCTGGTTGAAACATATGTACTTTAAGTAGCGGGGAAATATGGACAATGCTTGTTATGTCTCTTTTCGAAGAAGAAATTTGCTTATTGTTGTTAATTGCATCAATATACACTTACGACAAAATCCATCTCTGAAAGTTTGTCCTTTGGAGCAGACCTTTTTAGGTTGGGAAAAGTTTAAAGACTTTTTATCTGGCAGAATCTTCTTTCCATTTAAAGTTAAGGAAATGCTTTCATCATCCACAGCTCGTGCAATTTGCTTGCTTATGTTTTTGGCAATTTGTACTCCTGAATCTCCAAGCTTTACTTTACTTTGTTTCGTATTGTCCGTGACGATGTCATCAAGGTCCACTGTGATAAGTTAAAGCAATGACATCTTTTCAATAATATTACCATGATTTCTTTTCATAGATATCTAACGACTTGCCATAGCGCCATTTAACAGTTAAACCTACATGGAGTTGCTTTTGTCAAACTTCAAAATATTGCAAGGAAGGTTCGACTCCAGTTGATACAAGGCTTATCAATACAATTCTTAACAAATGTTAAACGTAACTTATACCATGACTCCGCTCAAGATCGTGCACTTCAATTCTTGTTCTCTCCTCGACATTCATGTTACAACAGAACCCATTCTTTTACATCAGGATAAATCCTGGATTGCATTGTCATCTTG